TTGCATTTGAATTGTGAACAAATGGCTTGGTTCTTTTCTTTTTCTAAACAAGTATTGTCTCCTGTATAGAGTGATCAGAAGAAGTAGCTAATATTTAAATTTCTACCATAAGTTACCAATTTGCATGATTTTTTTTTCTTGGAAGCATCTTTGATGAAACATTCTGTGTTTAATCATTGAACTCGTTTTTAAAAAAATATTATGTTTTTTTACCTTAAAGGGATTGTTTTCTCTACTTTGATTTCCTTTAAATAGCTGAAATCTCCCAATTGCTTCGTTAGATGATCTTAGGCTCTAGTATTACAAGAGAAGCAGAAAAAATTAATCCAATCCACTTTTCTCCCCACCACTAATAATTTTTTATGTTCTGTCTTATGTGTCCCCCTGTTTGCTTTTCCCCCCCTAAACTAAATACCACCACCATCACCATTACAACAACTCCATTGGCTGTGTTGGTTTTCACCTATAAAGCTCTAAATGGCTTGGGTTCAAGCTATCTTAAAGACTATATGTTCCTTTATGAGATTGTCTGGGTATTAAGACCATCAGGGGAGACCTTTGTCTCAGCCCCACCACACTCACAGGTGTGTTTGGTGGGGACATGGGGGTTCCCATGTCGCTGCTCCCAGGCTCTGATATTCCCTCCCATGGGACGCCAGGCTGGCCACATCTTTGCTATCCTTCTGCAAGCAGGTGAAGACCTTTCTCTTCAGGCAGGCTTTCCCATAGTGACTGGCTGTATGAGAGGTTTTTTTAAAAAATGGATTATTTTGCCTTGTCGCTTCTAAATGTGTTTTTAGTGTTGATTGTATTTACTATTTTTATTATAGTATTTTAATTTTTTTAAAAAAATGTATACTTATTGCTTTTAACCATCTTTTTAAATGATGTAAGCTGCCTTAGGTCCTTTTATGGAGAAAGATTGGGGGAAATTATTTTAAATATATAAACTACTGTAACCTTTCTTTGAATAGGGTTTACACTGAACACTTGCATGTTTCGGTTTCCCCCTTTTTTGCACCTTTTCTAGCTATTCCTGGAGAACCAGCTTAATAAAAGGCAAAAGGAGTGGGTCACTTTTATGGAGAAAGATTGGGGAAAATTATTTTAAATATATAAACTACTGTAACCTTTCTTTGAATAGGGTTTACACTGAACACTTGCATGTTTCGGTTTCCCCCTTTTTTGCACCTTTTCTAGCTATTCCTGGAGAACCAGCTTAATAAAAGGCAAAAGGAGTGGGTCATTTCTTGCACTGGATTCAGACATCTTTTTGCTTAGCTATGAAAGCCATTGTGACTGAGTGAAACGAAGTGTTTTTTTAATAGCTTTCACATTTTAAGCACTGCAGTTGTGAGATGTTGCTTCACTGCATAGTTTGATCTTAAGTTGTTGTGGGCCTTGCCCTTCGGAAAGGGCTGTCTGAAACATGGAATCATGGGTGCTTATTGTTATTGCTGAGAAGGAATAGTGTTTCCACTTCCTCGAGTTGTTTTATGATCTAATTTTCACCTTGCGTACAAGAGACTATCCTGGTGGCTGAGATTGTTTAGGCTGAAGATGGGAGCTGCACCCAGAAGTGAACTAGGCACCAGCCCCTTGATGTTCTACCTGAAGATGCAGATGGAACCACAACTCTCTTTGAGAACTTGAAATATTTTAAAAACCGAGGAGGGAGAAATATGGGAAGATGGTGTGTTTGTTCTTCATGATGTTGTGAAGGTGCATCATAAAATTCATGAATAAAGTGTGGTTGACTTATTTCACAAAACAATAAGTAAAATAAGTATGGAAACACATTGTCAGTACAGTAATAAAGATACCGGAAGCTAGGTTTTCCTATGGAAAGGTAACTGAACATATTTATTCAGAATCTCAGCAATATGTCCCTGTGACATGCCCCTACATGTCCCCAGATTATTTCACTAGCCTGAGGCCCACAACACGTTCCCTCCTTTATGCTGCCACCAGTTGATCTCCATCAACAATGCTTAATTAGAAAGATTGAGGTCCGGGCTGATTGTAAAGTTGAACAAAACAGGTTTTGTGCTGATTGTAAAGTTGAACAAAACAGGTTTATTGGTTACAGTTCACATAAACAGGTTCTTCAAATACTTTAAAGTATTCGGTAGCTGAGTAATAATTTGTTTTGCTCTTAACTCTCTTAACTCTCTATAAGTTCCACACTGCCTCCTTTAACTCTTAACTCTGCCACACTCTCTAACTCCCACAGACAAACTCTTCACTTCAGACTCTCATCTCTGACTCTCACTGACTGACTGACTGACTCCTCTCATCTGATTCACCCCTCCCTTCTAGTTTCTCTGGCTCCACCTCCCAGCAGCTCCCATTGGTACATGAGCCAAAGCACAGTGATTGCCACAGTCCCTTTCCAACCAAGGCCTAGGCCCATTTTGTGTGTTATGAAAGGTTGCTTTAAAAACATATTTTATTACTAAAATAATAAGCATCCACTTAACAGAGAGGGGTAGCAAGTCATAATTCTCTGATTGCTATATCTGGGTCAAATATATGTTTGCAAACAAGTATGCGCCATGTACACACATACAGTATCTTAGGTACACATTGTAAAATCACCCATCAAATAGGTTAGTCCTTTTGCCTTCTTTAATGGTTTACTGTAACAGGCTTTGTATGTAGAAATGAAAGAGTGTCTCAAGAAGAATCACATTGTAGCTCCTATAATCTGAAAGAATAGAGCACGGGGCGATTAGACAATTAGACAAATTGCTTATTTCCTTTGACATTTCCTCAGTATGGATTTTGTTTACTGAAAAGAAAATGGATTTCTCCTGTTTTTAAAGTGAAAAGTCTGATCATTCATATAAGCATTGGAATAAGCATACGCTATTATGTTTGGGGAAATCAAAAGCCCTGCTCGTTTTTCTGCTTTTTGACTCATTGTGGCTAAAACATACACTCTTTTTGCACACACTCAACAGGAGGGAGAGTCTCTTCTTTGTGATGTGATCCTATGCCCTAAGGGAATTTTGTAACACACCCTTGTTCAAATGTTGTGTAGTACACGCCTGGTGCTGTGCTTCTGTTTTTGTACACCTGAAATGGGAGTGGTCCTGAGAGGTGGCATAAATGTCTTTGGGAAGTGCAACAGTATTGTTTTTGTCATCTTCCTGGCACCCTGGGGAACATCTCCAGGATGAAAGAAATTCATAGAATTTGTTCTGCTCATATGCTTTCGAATCGTCACATTGCAATATGATGAACTGGTTCTCATACTATGTTCTGCGTAACTGAATGTGCCAAGGAAGCCTCACTGAGATTTCTCCTTCCATCAGAGATATATTTTTCTCCTTCTGCAAGAAGGGGATTCTTCTTCCCACCATTTTTTCACCAGTTCCTTTGTGTAAGAAATGACAGAGCAGTGTCCTTTCTGAGGCAAAAAAGATGCTGAGAAAAGATGCCGTTTTGCATAAGAGTTGTCATAATTCTGCTGGAGTTTCTTCCAGGGGGAAAAATTATGATAAAGCATATAAAAAAATCCCACGATTCTTCTTGAAATATGTAGCAAAATTTTGATGTGAAGAGGGACCTTTTTCTTTCTCTCTCTTTCTCTGGGTGATAGAGATTATGAGATTCACTTCCTTAGTTTAGATTGCATTCTGTTTGTTTATTTTTGCACTTCTGTTTACTATACTGTACATTTTAAAAAAAAAATCTGCATATAAAGATCTTGGCTGCAAGAGCCATGGCTGTCTTAATGTCACCCTGTTCCAGTCATTTGTTTAGGAAAGGAAATAATGATGGAAATTATATTATTCTGTAAGGCAAATGAAATGAAATTTATTGGGGAAAGGAACAAATGGAATGATGAGTTGAATGCATTCTCCAAGTATTTAATGCTTTTTTTTCATTCCATGATAACAGCATAAAAGGAGACATTGCAATGTGAAAAGTAGAACACAAGGAAGCAATTCATTCGTGCTGCTTCCACTTGCACATGAATCTTTTAGCACCTTCATTGAAAGCCAAAAGTCTGGTATGGATCAGAAGACTTAGGAAGAGACAAACGAATGTTTCCTCCACTCTGCTTCATGAATTTCATTAAAGTATAGTGCAGTAATATTGGCTAATGAGTAGCATGATTGATGTAATTAAAGAAGTTCAGTTAGATTACATAAATGAAGAGGAAGCAAAGGAACTGGTTCTTAGAGTTTAGTGGAGTGGAGAATCACTTCAATATTCAAAGGTCTTTTGGCTATATTAAATATTAGTTGCAGAAGAAAGCAATGTATTAGCAGCATTTTTGGTTTACTTTTTTGTATTTCCTAATAAGCAGAGAAATATATAAAGGATCTCTGAAGGAAAACATCATGTGGTCTGAAGCTGCCGTCCCCCATCTCCCTAACTCGTGTCAATAAGAGCGAAGAAGTCGTCTCATCAGTATTAAATGTTTATTATTGTTCCAACTAGATGATGAACCAAAGTATTGACCAAATATGCAGTTACAGAAATATAACAGTCAGATATTTAGAACATTTGATACTACTTCCATGAGAAAATAATAACGTTTTGAACTGCCGGCAGTATGACAGGTTTTGCTGGTCCAGGTCAGTCTCCCCTTACAGGCAGGGGAACTGCAATTTATTATTCAGCCCCGGATTAATTACACTGCAGGCTGAGCTTCCACTTGTCCAAATAATGTGGCAGGAAAGCCCGGTGCCCTTATTACAAGACATCATAGCCGGGTGGGTTACATGGACGCACTGTGAAAGAATCTGATCCTGGTGGCCTTCTTGCTCTGTACTCATTGAATGCTGGAGTGGGGGGGGGAGGGAGAGGGAGAGAGAGAGTTTGCTTTAGTGTTGGTGACAAAAGGCAGCTGGGTTGCGGAGGGAGTTTTCAGTCCTGAAACTCTGAAGGAGGTGATTAGGTGGAGCTGGCCTTCCTGGAATTGTAGGGTTGATTTTCCTGTTGTGTTTCAGCACTGTCTCACAGTTACAAATACAGTCATAGAACTGACGGGTCAGGACTACTGCAGCTAGCAGAGGTGACCAAACAAAGCCTCTTTCGTTTTTTAACTGCCTTCTGAAGGAAATCCAGCACAAACCTTTAACAGCAATGTTTCTGCAAAAATATTTAGGCCGAAATCCACCGGTGGGTATGCTGTTTGGTATATATTTTGAGGATATTTTATTTGCCGTTGTGCCTTAGGCAACACTCCTTGGCTTTTAACGTGTTTCTAACAATTTAATGAGGAGCCAGTTTAAATTTCTTTACCTGTGAACAGCAGTTGTTTTTGCTTTATAGGAATTTGAGCTTGCTTGTTAGATTTCAAAGGAAATACCATGTTTTGACATCTGATGATAAATGTACCAGTGCCTAAAAAGTTAATCAGGCATATGTATTTTGTTATGTG